GTTCAGTTAACTTTTTGATTTATTGTAGAGACAAGGTCTTGCCAAGTTGCCCAGGATCATCTTGAACCCTGGGCTCAGGCAATCCTCTCGCCTCCACCTCCCAAAGTGCTGGAATTACAGGCATGAGCTGTAGCACCAGTCCAAGATCACATATACATTTTTCCTATGGTGCAAGAAAATTAACATTTAATAAGAATCACACATTTATTATGGAGCTTAAGAATGCTTTGGTTCATTTTAAGCCATATATTTAATATTTAGAATATTTTAGTAATAGCTGGAAACTCTTCAGAAGTCTGAGCATACAGTTCACATGACCATTCTGAAAAGTGAGCATGTGGGAAGAATTGTTTGCTTACTAGATCCTTCCTTGACAATTTAGATACTTAAATAATCATATCCAAAGCAAATTTTCCAAAATCAAATAAACTGCAAAACTAGAAATATAATCGAGTCCCCAAGAAAAACTTCCAATCCTCTGCCAAAACAGACCTCAACTTCATAATCCCTTGTCCAAAAAAGTTGGATCAAGTATTGACGTTTTCCACCAAGCAAGCCACATAGCCACAAATGTTTCTCATTTACTTCACTCCTGGGGCATACAGCTCAAATAAAAAATTTCCTGAATACCCCAAATTTCAGATGCAATTTGAATGTAAGTGATTCATAATGTTATGCAGGAAACATTATGATCTTCTCTTACCAACTCAATGTTTCTGGAATGCAATCCTCAGGAGAGCACCTCAACCAATTAGAAGGCTGACATCATGTAACGCAACTATTATGCACTTTGCCCCTAGTTCAGATGTGATTCTGAACTTCAGTAATATGCTACTCCAGCTACTGTTCATATAAAATAGATGTTACCTCAAGGGAGCTAGCAAAGATTCCTTTTGTGTTCTATGACAAAAAACATGGTAACCATGCACTCAATTCCCATTAAGAAAGTGCAAAACAGAGTTAAAGAAATTAAAGCCACTATCATTGCTTCTGCACCAAAAGCTTCTCACAGTGGGCTCCGACTGAACAGACTTAGATTCTAAACAAATTCAAGAGTGAAATTTCACAGAGTCTCTAGTTATATGAGTCATATTCTATTTCCATCCCTACCATCTCCCCCTTTCTAAGTAATTAATAATTTCTCAGAGTACCAAAGTTCCAGGGGTCATTTTCTGTAGATTCCTACTCTCTTTAAAGGAATAAAACACAGTTGACCTAGAGGAAGAAGAGTACTTCTTTGAATGCATCAAATGAACACAAAAATTGTATAAGTCTTAGAAAACGTGATTACCAAAAACAAGAGAAATGTACATGTCCACAACGTGATAGGATATGGTGCATAGTACAGTAGCAGCAAATGCAGATAGTAAAAGATCAAGATAAACACGTTGACATAGTTTTTCACTAACTAAAAGGATCATTATATAGCAAAATACACAGGTAAGGGTATCCTTAAACAAGGATTATTGAGGGAACCTGGGACAAAACTCCAAGCCAAGCACATAACAACTTGAAACTTTAGGCGAAAGAAGAGAGCTACTGATTCTACAGAAATAATAGGCAATGGAAAGAAATTTCTCAAACTAAAGGAATTTGTGGAAAGCTTAACATCATTATTTAAGCATAAAAAGAAAATATATATAGTATAATAACTATCTACATACACAATAATAGAGAACCTACAAAAATAGATTGGCTTAAAGTAAATGTATGGTTCTACAGGCAATTTTGATAATAGTAACATTTACAAAGAAACAATTAAACTGAATCTGTAAATTAAAATGATGATATAACTTTATCTCACATATATGTGAAATGAGGTTGCCTCAGGAAGCCATGAAAAAATATAAAAATAAGAGGGGGGACCAAAAACATCCAATTATTTTTTTGGAGAGCAGGCCTCTTGTAGTATAGGCTTCCCCCTCTAGGTAAGTGTTCTAGTAACCTATCAGCATCAGTGTATCAGCTAGAATTGTTGTGAGAGGCTGTGTTCAGCTTCAGTGAATTTTTCTTTTTTTTTTTTTTTTTTCTGGAGAGTCTTTCAACATGTTTGCCCCTTTATGATGAGTGGTTTACAAGTCTATCTGCTCAAACAGTGCTGAGTGTTCGGAAGTTTTCAAACAAAAGCAGCATGACCCCCCCCTTCCCTATTCTCCCCATCTTGTCTCAAGCAACAGTTTTTGTTTCCTTGGATAAAAATTTTCTTAAAAGGAAATGTTCTACTGAAGTGGAAGAGGCGAAACAAAAAACAGCAGAAGCACTAAAAGGCACTAAAATTGACAGGTTCAAAAACTTTTGAGCAGTGGAAAAAGCATCTTGCTATGTGTAGTCCATCAAATGGAGAGTGCTTTGAAGGTGACTGAAGTTTAAACATGTAAGAAAAAATACACAATTTTTAATAAATAAATTCTGAGTTTTCTTGGGCCCCTCCTCGTACTTGGGGAAAAAAAAAGCCTACATGTTTAAAAAAAAAAAAAAGTGTTTAAATTTGTGATTGGAACAATGCATGTCATAAATAATTTGAAAAGTAGCTTGAATATCTTCAACTGCCAAAGATCCTATTTTCTCTTCTACCTCAGCTGTTTAATAAGAGCCCTCTCTCATGTACCTACACAAAAAGAGACAGTAGTCACACTGATTTTCTAATACTTATTTGTACTGAAAAAATGTGTTAGATGATAACATTAGGAAACAGAACATTCTAGATTACTGTGTTTTCTGGTTACCTTAAAATTTAATTCTGCACACTTTCCCTCTTGCCACTATTGATTTTATACTGAGAATTGCATGAAATCAGCAAATCCTCAACAAATTATTAAACTATCAGAATTTCTACAAACATATGACAGCATGTATATGAAGCTTCTAGAATACAGTAGATAATCAAATATAGTTAGTTCCTTATTCTTTTCTTCCCCTCTTCCTGCTGCCAACTGTAGCTTTACTTCTTCTGCAGTTTAAGATCCAGGAAACTCCCAAGTGTGTGCACCCAATCTCAGCTGGTCCAGTCGAGACTCCCTAAGCACCAACCCTAGTCCCCACATGGCCTCTCTTCTGCTCTGAAAAGATAAAAGAAACTATCATGAACCAGGAAAAACTTGGCAAACTGCAGGCACAAGTGTGCACTGGTGGAAAGGGAACTACTTACAGAAAATGGTGGTTCATAGAGCAGCTATAGCAGATGATTAAAAAAAACTCCAATTCTCCTTAAAGAAATTAGGGGGAAACAATATCTCTGGTATTGAAGAGGTGAACATGATTACAAACCAAGGAACAGTTATCCACTTTAACAACTCTAAGTTTAGGCACCTCTGGTAGTGATTACTTCCATGATTACAAGCCATGCTGAGACAAAGCAGCTGACAGAAATGCTATCCGGCATCTTAAACCAGCTTGGTGCAGTCTGACTAGGGGATTGGCTGAAGCTCTGCCCATACAGTCTGTGGATGGAAAAGCACCACTTCCAACTGGGGAGGGGGAGGGGAAGAAGGAGGGAGAGGGAGGGGGTGGAGGATGAAGTTCCAGATCTTGTGGAGAATTTTGATGAGGCTTCCAAGAATGTGGCAAACTGAAGTAAGTCAACTTCTGAAGAAGATAACTTGAAAAATGTTGCTGGGAGTTGCTATTTTATATTATGACTGCTTTTTAAAATTGTTTTGTTCACCTAACCCTTAACTGTACCCCACAAAACCATAATAAAAAATACTGATTGAAAAAAAAAATTGTTTTGTTTATGGATCTGATAAAATCTAGATCACTAATATTTTTAAGTCCAAGTCCCTTGGACACTGCAGCTCTTTTCCATTTTTGCTTATGCACAACTCATTCTTCCCAGCTAATTAAGATGAAGAAGACTGGGAATAAAGTCTGAAACAAAGATTTTTAAAAAGGAAAAAAAAAAAAGATCCAGGAGGCTTATCCGTTTCCTATTCTTTTGGTCGTTTAATTATAGGGCCCTACAAACATTAATCTTTTTCTCTTCTTGCCTTAATCCTATTGAGAATCACCTAAATTCAATGTATATTTTGCATTAGAGCCTAATGTTCTGTGTAGTGGTATACCAGGATATGGGGGAACAGAATTCAATAAAACATGGTTCCCACCTGTGATGGTTAATTTTAATGTGTCAACTTTTCTAGGCCACGGGGTGTCAAGTAGTTGGTCAAACGTAATTTTGGGTACTTCTATGAGGGTGTTTTAGGATGAGATTAACATTTAAATTAAGCAACCTGAATGAAGTATACTAGCTTCATAATATAAGTGGGTCTCATCCAATCCTGTTGAAATCCTGAATAAAGCAAAAGACTGACCTATTCTCCCCAGTAAGAGAGAATTCTTCTGCCTGAAAGCCGTAGAACCATAACATCACCTCTTCTAGGCTAATGGGCTTCCAAATGGGACATCAGCTCTTCTTGGTTCTATAGCAGCTGTTGGCCTTTGGACTTAAACTGGGACATCAGTTATGCAGATTTTGGACTTACTAGCCCCCAGAATAATGTGGGCCAATTCCTTATAATAATTATATTATATTATAACATACAGTATATATGTTATTGGTTCTATCTCTTAGAGAACCCTAATATACCACCTCCAAGAAGCTCAAAGTCTAGTTATGGTTACACGCACATAAACCTTCTCCATGAAGTTTTTCCCAAACAATAACACAGAGTGTAGTGCTATGAACCAAATAAACTATCAAACAAAAAACATTATCAATAAACTTTCAGTAAACCAAAAAAAAAAGTACTTGAAAACAAGATTTACCAAGGACACAACATGAGACCATATAATGCATTATCTTAAGAATTTCCATAATGTTAAGTGTCAGTTTACAACTAGGCTTGCCTCATCCTGCATATGCTGACAAGATGAGATGTCTCTGCTTTCATGAGATAGTTAACATTATTTGAAGCAGATTATTGGCAAATAAAACAGGTAGCACAGTGATATATTAATTCATTCCCCCTCACAGTACATAGCACAAACAGCAAGAGGCCTACCTGAATGGCAGCCAAGTTCTTCTGCTCCTGAGATGGTGCCTCATGAACAAAGCGAAGCCAGTTGGAGTGTCGCGGGTTGGTAGCATCTAAAATGTATAGAACTTCTCCCTTACTTCCACGAACCTGAAACAGAAAAGGCTCCTGAGTTTTCAAAGAAGTCAGTATTAGCCATACTAAACGTATCAAGGATAGGACATGATATTTTCTTCATAAGTATATATCTTTTCTATTACAAGTGTTAAACAGGCACTGAATTGAAATGCATTCTTCACTTAAATACATGTACAAATAGAGCTGGCAATTTCATTTGGCAAACCTCTGGATGACTCACAACTGCAACCAACTCTCAGAAACATCCTCTGTTAGTAGCTGTTTTCTGGTCAAAATTATTTCTCTTTGTAGGTATGTTTTAATATATGTGTGGCAGGCAGACTGTTTACAGAATAATCGTATTCTCAAATGCTTCCCCGTTTCTCCACAGAAGAGCATATTACTGTTTGTGTTCCAATTGAGGAAGGTGGAACTGGAGCAATCGCTCCAATTTCTCTCTCTACCTGCTTACTGAATCATCTCCACAAAAGAAGTTGTTAATCTAACCAGTGGGAATTCAGCATCCAATGGAATACAATGTCACAGTCTTTACCAATGGATAAATGAAACAAGTCTCATTCTGTCCTTTTATGGCCTGCTCTTGGACTGCTGAGAAGGACAGTAGACTATCAGTGGTTTTGTCTCAGCCCATCAGCCCTTACTGGGCAGACCCACTTGACATTCAATTGGAGGGAGGTGTGTGACTGTCAAAGAAGCAGTAGCTGGGCATGGTAGAGCACCTGTAGTTCCAGCTACTTGGAAGGCTGAGCCGGAAGGATTGCCAGAGCCCAGCAGGTCAAGGTTGCGGTGGCCAGGAGCATGCCACCGCACTCCAGCCTGGGTGACAGAGTGAGACTCCAACTCAAAAAAAAAAAAAAAAAAAAAGAAGCAGTAGCCCACTGGACATTCAGAATCTAGCTTCTCCAAAACTCCTGCATTATCAGTTACTGGGCACTTGCCCAGTTTTACAAAACGTATATGCCCATCTCCATTCAACTCTCATTTCATGTTTATATTCATTTAGAATCAAGGAAAAGAAGAGAGGGAATGAGTGATTAGCAATACAGATCTCCAACACCAAGTACAAAAATACAGGCTACAAATTTACCTTTGCAGCCTTTGAGTGGTGAGAAACAAATTCCAGATTTCCAAAGTTTTATTTTATAAAATAAAAGACAACCAATCCTATAAAGTATGTATTTTCATGATACATTCAATCATTTATTCATTCAATAAATAATGGCTGGATCCTTAACGACTTAAGTCACTAAGAATCCTTCAGAGAACAAGTCAAATCCCCTGACCTCAGAGCACTTAAAAGTAAACATAGAATATAACTTCATGTAAAGATAAGTGCAATGATGACAACTAAAGCAGAGGAGGAGAAAATAGAGTACTAAGAAAAAGGCTCTATCAGAGGAGATGGTCAGGTAAGAAGAGTTTTAAGAAAGAGAAGGAACAGGCCAGCAGAGGGCTAAGAAAAAGGGTGTTGTCAGGCAGAGGGAACAGTTAGTGAAAGGCAGATAGAAAGGGCTGAAGTTTGGACATGAAATAGGTGTGTTCAAAGAATAGTAAGGAGGTGCTGGGACTGGACCAGAAGAGGCAACCGAGATTAGATAGACTGGCAGACGCCAGATCACGTGGGATGTGTAGAATAGGGAGCATCTATACGGTTACTTGGGGAATGTATGGTTATTTTTACCCAAAAATCTGCCTTGAAAACATCCACTACATGCACTGCAAAAGCTGATATTTCAAGATTCTAACATTTATGGCCCAGGAAAAAAATAGTTAGACTGTTCCTGCTATCTGATACAAGACCATATTTCTCAAACAATTCCTGTTTTCTTAAATGCCCACAGATCATCAGTAATCTTTTAAAAATCTCTCTCATGAAATGCCAGACCATCACTGTGAAGCAGAAATTTAATTTTTGATATCGTAACTTCTAAATAAACATGCCTCATATTTATACTAATATGCTTATGTGTGAAGCTGTGGGAATTTGTAATATGTCTCACTAAGCAACAAGCACACTGAGGAGATTGCTTTGTGGGGGGGGGCCCTGAAGACTGCCCCGGCTCCCTGCTTACTCCTCTACTCAGAACCCTCACTTCCCATTGGGGAATGCCAAAACACCCCACGACACTGCTGTGAGAGAAAGCAAGCACACTCCACACCTCTCCCTCAAAGAGAATTCCAGTTCACATTTCTCTGGCAGAGTAAATGAATAATTTTAAATATTTACGCATACTGTCCTTCCTTTTACCTCCATAGCTACGATAACAAAATGGCTTATATTGACAAATAGCCAAATTAAGCACAAGTTGCAATGTCACTAAAACCTGAAAGCAAAATTTTCTCAGGAGGACTGAAATTAAAAACCTACAACTATTTTTGAAATCCATACAACCTAACTAACTTTACTTAAGGAAACACCAATGGGTTTACCCAGGGCATATCTCAGTTTAAGAGGATAGCGCTACTTAAACAAACTAGTTTGCCGCCCTTCTGTTAAGCACAATATGTATCAGAGGCATCTGATTTTAGAATTTTTTCTTCCAAGACATGAAACAACAAAGGTTTCTCTGTGACTTATTACAGTAAACACATTTGAGTTTTTATCAAATGTTTGTTTGTTCTCTATGAATTTTAGCTTTTCCCAGCCCTTTGCCCCCAGCTGCATTCGGTTAGTCAGTATTAGTAACCAATATTTCAGTTTATTAGATATATGCACTTTCTGGCTATTACCTTCTCACACAATTTTCCATCTTAAAATAAATGGACAATTTAATTTTATACTAAAATTCTTCTGTAATGTATCACTTTCAATGCATACAAATTTAAACACTAATTTGCTATTACTTATTCTCATAACAGCACTATCTTAGCCAGCAATATACTATGTGTTGTCCAGATATTCGTTTTTGAAATGACTTTCTTTGTTCATTAACAGAATCACTGCTTATTTTATTCCAAACACCCTTCCCAAACAACTTTTAAGTTCTTACACAGTCTTTGCACTTTGTGGCTGACCTGTTTTCTCCAGCCTTCCAGTGGCTGGTCCTTTCCTCACTTCTTTGTCCCAGGTTTTGACACATCACTAAAGTTGTTAGATCACCTGCACACATGACATTTATCTCCCTAATCTAACCACAGCATTCTCCACATATCATCTGAAAGAGACATCCAAAAATAATCAAATCCATCCTTCCTCTTTCTTGAGAAACCAAATCAAAACAACTCCAGACAGCTAGCTATTATTAAAGTCTTCATTTATCTGTTTTAATATGATACCGGACCCTGAGGTAATAAATTGAACATTCTTAAAGGCTAAAAAATAAAGAAGATTGAAAATTCCTCTTGTGCCGTGTTCTAGCATCTCACTAACCTTTGCAGCAAAAATGTATTTTTTTCTGTCCAAACTGGTCTTTCAAATACCATCTTCTTTTATTTGAAATTATCATGGAAAATGAGGTATATTGGCTACTTGGGATCAACGTCGGCATACTTGGGGCCTATAATGAAGTCAACGTTCTCATCTTGTAGCAAAAACTATTTATATTCCAAAATCTGTTTGATTTGCACAGGCTTCCTACACTAATTACACAGAAAAGTTAGGAAAGTAGGAAAGGGAAAGAAACCTCATATGGAAATGAAAATCTCCATGCTCAATACAGTCGTTCATATCTCTACAACCTTGTCACTTTATACTTAAGGAAAATTATCCTCACATGGGAACCTGGCAGGGTCTAGCCTCTGCTAAATGCTAATAACATCACTTTTCAAATGTTCCATAGAAAGAATATGCTGGTCATTGGACCTTTAATCAGACTAAAGAGTAAAATTTCTGAATATACGTCACAGTTGATTTTGTCTTCCCATCAAAAAAAGAACAGAGGAAACTGCCAAAAAACTCAATTAGAGATAACTCAAAAAACAAGTGCTAGCAAGGCTGCAGAGAAAATATGTTGCTACTATGCTGTTGGTGGGAATGTAAGCTAGTTCAACCTCGGTGGAAAGCAGCATGGCGAGTTCTCAAATAACTAAAAATAGAACTTCCATATGATCCAGCAATCCCTCTCCTGGGAATATACCCAGAGGAATAGAAACATCTCTCCCCAAAAGACATACACACACACGTTTCCTGGCACAATATTCACAATAGCAAAATCATGGAACCAACCCAGATGTCCACTGAAAGAGAACTGGATTAAAAAAAATGAGGGATCAGGTACCCTCCCGCTGTGGGGGCTATTCTGTCCTCTCAATAAATCCTGCTTTCTCAAAAAAAAAAAAGAAAAAAAGTGGTACATATACACAATGGAATATTATGCAGCTATGAAGAAGGAACAAAATCATAGCCTTTGTAGCAACTCGGATGCAGTTGGAGACCATCATACTAAGTGAACTATCGCAGAAACAAAGAACTGAATACTGCATATTCTCACTCATAAGTGGTCCCTGAACGTTAGTCACATTAGCACAAGGGTGGGATCGGCAGTTGCTGAGCACTGCTAGGGTAAGAAGGACGAGAGGAGAGAAGGGGGGCACATACCAATACAATGGGTAGCTGGTCCACTACTAGGGGGAGAGAGGGCCAGCTAGAAGTCCAAACTTTACCAGCATGCAGCTACTTATGTGGCAAATGCTCACTTACACCCCAAAACGTTTTGTTGGTTTTTTTTTTGAGCTGGAATCTCACTCTGTCACCCAGGCTGGAGTGCAGTGACACACAAGCTCACGGCCACCCCAGTGTCGACCTGCTGGGCTCCAACAATCCTTCCTTCTCAACCTTCCAAGTAGCCGGAACTATAGGCGTGCAATACAATGCCTGGCTAATTTTTGATTTATTGTAGAGACGAGGTCTTGCCAAGTTGCCCAGGCTGGTCTCAAACCCGTGGGCTCAGACAATTCACTTGCCTCGGGCCTTCCAAAGTGCTGGGATCACAGGCTGAGCCACCGAGCCCGGCCTCCTCACAACTTTAAGTAAAAATAAAGCGAAAACTCTAACATGCAAATGAAAGAAATAG